GCTCCGCCCACTTTTGAGTTATAAAAAACTGGTTATATTTTGACATCCAGGCGCTTTCCAAACCTGTAACTCGTACACATATACACACTACACACGTACTGTCGTGTATGCTCCGCCCACCACGCACGCTCCGCCCCTTTTTGAGATATAAAAAACAGGTTATATCTCGGCATTCAGGCGGTTTTCAAACTTGTAACTTGTACACATGTACACACTACACACGGACTGTCGTATATGCTCCGCCCACCACGCAACTCCACCCCACTTTTGAGTTTTAAAAAAGTGGCATATCTCGACATCCAGCCACTATCCAAATTTGTAACTCGTACACATGTACACACTACATACACACATACATACATATATGCTCCGCCCACCGCGCAAGCTCCGCCCACTTTTGAGTTTTTGACAAGTTTTTATATTTCGACATCCAGGTTCACTTTCCAAGATTGTAACTCGTACACATGTACACACTACATACACACATACATATATGCTCCGCCCACCGCGCAAAGCTCCGCCCCTTTTTGAGTTATAGAAAAGTCGTCATATCTCGACATCCATTTGCTGTCGAGACGACGCCTTAACAGTGCCATTGTACATTGCTCCCTCTTACACACCAACTTCACCCTTAAAATTCCTCCAGCATTGCCATCAAGGTGATAGGGGGAAGGGCGGGCAGGAAAAACTACTTGGAGGCAGGGTCGGTCCTACCGTTGCGACTTTTCGGAAATTTTTTACGACCCCCTCTCCAATCAAAAATTTCACGACCCCCCCCCCTTCACCACCCTCGCCATCATGGTCGCTGTTTCTATAGTATTTAATTCTGAGACACGCCCCAAACTCCCCCATGAATTCTAACATTACATCGAATACGACCCCCCCCCCACCTACAATCTCAACAAAATACGACCCCCCGTTGGTACTTGTCGCAACATAGGATTGACCTTGCTTGGGGATTTGAGAGTCATCCCTTCATTCCTTTATCAGACATCTTTCCTCACCTGCCTTCATCTGCGACCGCCGCGAACCCCATACACGACGCTCGTCCTCCCCACAAGCAAATGCGATCCCCTGTCGAGATTCACAAAATTTCAAAAAACTGTTTTATAAAGGAATGATCAATTCACATCTATACAGTAACATGGAAACGGTAATAAAAATTCGGATTGAGCTTTCTCGTGGAGCAAGCGAAGAACTGTATGCTAAGTGGACGCATGGCAAGTGAATCGAGCACCGACGAAAACAGTCGTAATAAACACGTGCACCAAGGAATAAAAAGACGAACAAAAGAATGAACGAAATGAATTGGACATGAAAAAGAAAAGAACAAAACGTCAAATAAAACTCAATACATCTCGTAAGTATCTTCTCAAATTTTCTTCTATCTAATGTCGAAACACTATAATACATGTTAAACGATGAGAGGCGAGGTAGCAAAAGATTTGGCAGGTAGGACTACTCGTCAACTGCGCGTTCTATGCTAATCTGCTGATGTGGCTGAACGACGAGTGTGTACGTCCCATGCCTCACATGACCATTGGTGCCTTTCGGCCAGCAGGATACGGTGGAGGTGGTGGAAGATCCATGACGGCCGCTGGAGCAGGAGGTCGCCATGCATATCTGAACGGTAAGAGTAATGGAGATCAGAGCTTGCGAAAGCTGTGTTCCCTTTGTATCCCGCAGCCGGGTGCATCCGCAATGCAGACCAAACAATGTAGCTGACGACGACCTTTAAAAAAGTGATGGTTTTCTACCAATGAAATGACTGACCGACTGCAGTTTTATTCGGGATACTAAGGAGGGGATGGAGAAGAGGAACAATTGCGGAGCAGAATTCTTCTCGGCAACCGATCCCGACATCCAGTTTTCGAAGGGGAAGGAGATTCCAGGACATGTAAACCATCCTGTCCTTGTACAGGAAAAGGACTACAGGTGTATCAAAACGGAAGTGAGGCGCTATCGCAAGATACCAAGATACGGGAGCATTCTGGTGGCAGGGCTGGAAACCGAGTGAAGCATCCTCGATGTCAAAATCCGAAAAGCGAACCTCCGGCAAAAGAGGAGACACTCCAGGGTGCATGAGCAAATTACATTTTTCCCCTAGCTCCTGAGTCCCATTCGACCGGACTTGATCCTAAATTCCCCCAGTCATCCATTGGCGATAGCAGCCGAAATGATTCTCGTCTCTAAAGCCACTCTGCTCTCGTTGCCGGTCCTCCCCCTCTCCCCTTTAGTACACCAAACTTTTATCCTCTTCATTATCATCCCTATACCAACAACTAACCCATCTGGTCTCATCAGTAATGAGGTGTGTAGGTAGCAGGTGCTACCGCACTCAAGCAGATCTGGAATTTTTCGTGAGGGAGGAAACTTCCCTGGCTGCCGTGAAATCCTGCGCTCTCGGCTTCCGCACCATGGTTTCCTAACTTTCGATAACTGAACTTAACTTCGACGAATCGAAACTGTCGCGCCACGCTTGGCCCTCCCCCTTCATGATACGAGACTACTAAATACCTTTCCAATTATCACTGTCAACCATAGAGCACCGATTCAACTTTTGCGAACTACGCGAATTCGCCTAGTCTGCGTCGCGTACGCGAACCAGTGAAACCACTACAATGCTGGTACCGGCAAGCACCGTCGGGACCTAAGCAATCGCCGAATCGCAAGAGTCTGACATCGGCCTAAACCACAAACTATGAGTTTTTTCTGGAGGCCGTCGTCAGTTGTGCTGTTCAGTGTGCATTTGCAGATACATTTGGCTGCCGGAAATTATTTGTAGTCAGACTCACGTTGCTGGCATTAAGTTAGGTGTTCTCATATATGGTGCATAGTTATGCACAGCTGAATCAGGGAAATAGTCGCCTCGATGAAGTGGAACATGGAAATTGCCTAAAGTACATTAAATATTACAATACCCATGAATAGGAGAAGGGGTAGATGGAACTTCAGAAGTATTACCTGTCAAGACCGGCATTGGCAAGTGAGTGACATATTCGGATGTGAGGTCAATGCACGACGACGGTCTTCGCTGATGACTAAGAAGACTATTGGATTCTCGTAGAAGTCGATGCATCATGGGGAAGTCGCGCAGGCGCTCTGTGCTCAACCCCTCCTGGAACGCGAAATTTCACCTTATACACTCGATTTGCATATTATCACTCCCTTACCTCATCAATGAAATAATCGTGGGTGGCAAATTGTGTGGCCGACGCTGGAGGAAATGCCGGTTGTCCCTCCAGCAGCTTCGGCGGCCATCGGCCCAACCGCAATTGACTGAACAACGTTGGGCTAAATTAGAGGATTTTTGCAAGAAATCAAAACGATTATTGATTCTTCAAGATCTCAGAGTCTGTTGCATACTTGAAGGTGAAGATGTGGATTTAGTTGAGTGGTGGTAGTTCTTTGGAGCAATGCCAAAGCCTACTCTCGTCCCAGATGCGGATTCTGTTCTTTTCTGCTCGAGGCTACGCTCGACAGCAACGTGCCCTTGTCCAATCGCGTGTGTGCCCGAACAATTGGCAGAATACATCTGAAAAACGTCAAAACTGTAGGTTCCAGCGAAGTTTTTGAGTGATATTGAAAAAGAAGATAAGCCCGTTGACAAGAATCACCGGAAAAGCAAATCAAGAAGTATGAGAGAAATTCCTCGAATAACCAATTGAGCATACATACACGGTTCGATCCGCGACGACAAAAGCATCCTTTCTACAATGATCCTTCGTAATTATTTCCCGCAAACTGAAGTGATGAGAAATAATTTCTCTATAAATCACTGTTCTAATATTATTTGAGTTCTTCTTACGCATTCTGACCGAGTTCCAGAGTACATTCCACAAAAAAGTGCCTTCTACATTACGAATATGGTCTTTCAGTACCGTTTAAACTAGTTCTGCACCGGAACTTGCAGTTTTTCTTCAAATACTTCGAAGACCATGAAATAATTGGTGATCAGACGGTGCAATCACTGCCAAACAATAAATTAAAGCAATGCCCAATCATAACCTTCTGTCTTTACGCCGTTCCTTCTCTGTTCCACCGAGGGATTTTATGACAGAAGAGCCCTTTTGGTTTCGAAACCACAGACGGATGGAGCGTCCTGGTTTCTTTTCGAGTTTTTCGAATGGAATCTTTTTATGCTTGGCTTACTTTGCGACCGCATGGTCATCTTCGAAGGCGCAAAGGTGATTCGGAGCCTATGATTCGGAGCCTGTAAATTTCATACAAGGGGGAGGGGAAGAGGAGAAAGCGCTTGCCCAATTTGTCCAAGGGCTTGCTCCATTCTGTCGCTTCTCATGCCATTTAGAGCACATCAAGAAACAATGCCAACATTTCAACAAGAACACTATGAATTAGAGATCAAGTAAGTTAGGCTTACTCCCCTCCCCCACCGTATTATAGACCCCTCCCCTACCACCACACGTTTATGATGCAGTCTCATCCAATCGTTTTCCAACCCCCAACAGGCTGAACGTCGCGTTCCTAGTTTTCCGAAAATTTTACGATCCCGATCCCTTCCGACCCCTATGACTGACTGTCTTGATAGACCTCCCCCATCGCCACGCATGAGAGGGATCACTCAAGTACTCCTTCAAACTTCATTTCAAGGAACTTTTGAGGAACCCCATTCAAAAGATTCTATGGGATGGCTCCTGGTCAACCCCGAACACGACCACTTCCAAAAATAAATACGACCCCTTACCCTCTCACTTTCTATCCAAAGGAGCGCTTGACGCTGTTCCCAAGATCGATCCAGAATGAACGTATAACTGGGCTCGAAGATGATGGTAGTCAAAAGTGGGAAGTAGCAACAGCTGGGTACGGATCCTGACTTGAGCAAGTAGCTCACGGTTGCAATTATTCCACCATTCAGGGGAGGCATTCCTTCTCAGTGAGGCACGCAGTAGTAAAAGGGCCATTCCTGGCGCTTGATGAGCAAGGTGGCAATCGGGTGTTTATTCGGCGGGTCTGACTCAGCCAGCCACAGCACTACATTTGGGATATGGCACGAAAGAAGACGGCGTAATTAGCACTCCGCTAAGCACAATAACCCGAATAATTGAAGGTAAGAAGAATTAGTAGGCCAAAAAAGAAGAAAATCTCAAAAAAGGAAAGAAATTGAGAGTAAAAAATGTACCGTTCTATGATATCCGTTGACAACGTGGTAATGAGCCGGCATGGAATGGACCCTGTTGATGACGCCATTAGCAGATTTCTTGGTGAACAGACGGCCACCATTGGCTGTGATTTGACTGTCCAGTAGCGCCACGGCTACAGAAGGGTGGCCCCACAACTGAAACTAAGGAAACCTTCTTTCCATTTTTAGCTCACTTCATCTCTTGGCGAGGACAAAAGCCTCACATCAGAATCGATCTTGGGTTCACTCCTTGCCTGGCCGGATGCACTCAATCTCTGCATCTGATGGTCGGTGGTACTCCATTGCAAAGATGGCATCACGACAACGTTGCTATAATCACTCATTATCAATTGACAAGTTATCAAATGATAAAAATCAATGCTAAAAATGAACCCATGTTATAGAAAAAACGATCAAATACAGCACAAAACCCATCGAGTAGAGCCTAGACGGCTTATGTAGCCTATTGTCAACCTTTTGAATGTGCAATAAATAAACAAATGAATAAACAAATAAACAGATAAACAAAAATAAATAAAGAAGTGCGTGCTCACCCATCGTTGTCGGTGCGTTCGTCAATGTATCCTGGAGGCGGCTTGATGCCAGCCGTTCGTAAATCGTGAAGAGACACGGACGACTGCTGAGGGAAAGTTGATCGTAGCGTCGAATCAGCATCTTCTGACCGAGCACAACCCTGCAAAAAGACCATTGGTTTTGAGCCCCAGAGACATGTTTCAGAAGTCAGGTACCTGTTCGTGATGACAGCCATGGAGCATCGTTTCTGGTAGCATTTCATTAGAGTGCTGGACGGAATCGCTTCGCGAACCACCGGAGGACGCGTATTGGATCTCTCCCTAAATACGGTTTACTAGAATAACTGCCGAAATCTGAGAATCCCTTCCAAAGATGGCTAAGTAGAAGTAAAGCTTCAGGTACCTGATACGGTATACCGTAGGCTTCGAGGATGTCAAGATCAGTGGCATTGATAGCGGATTTCAGGTTGAAATTGACGTCCACCGGTGCGCATCGTGTGCTCGTTTCTACCGTTTGAGATGCAGAATCCACACTTGCAGGCCGTCTAAAAATGTGGGTATGGGGCGACGGTTTTTTTTGACGCCATTTTTATAGCTTTCCTCACTTACTGCCGCAAAAAGCAAAACAATCAAAAAAGTTATTTACATTTAATTATTTGTTGTTGTTTGTTTATCGCTTAAAGGTTTAGTAATGTGGCTTTTTTGCTTTCAATTTATCATAGTTCTACACTGAATCTAAAACTTAATTCATTTTCTGTTGTCATTTTGC